ATGCTCAATACGCCCCTATTGATGCTGCTTCTAGTATTCATAAAACTGGATTTCGCGAAGCAAGGGTTAATATTCATGGACCAGGTGTTTACTGTTCTCCAAAACCGAGTTTTGTAGAGAATGGTTATGCCGGGGTAGCTAAATTAGATACAAAAATTGGTACAAAAACTTTTAAAATTATGCTACAAGTAGCTGTCAATCCTGATGGTATCAAGTTTGCCACCGAAGATATATGGATCGCTAAAAATTCTCAAGATATACGAACTTATGGAATACTCATTAAAGAAGTTTAACTTAAAATAATCAAAACCTTTGATTTACTATGGGTAGTTGTGAGCGAATAAATGAGATATTCATTCCCTATATCTATCACATGTGTGTCATATGGTATTTTTCCTTTTCTTTCTGTCGTTCATTTTCGTGTCTTTTCTGTCCTGCTCTCTACTCTTGTAGGTGTGGGTGTGGATGCGGGTGTATGCGTGGGTTCGTGGGATCTGGATGTGCGTATGACTCTTGGCCTTCTCTCCTTCTACACCAACATCCACATCCATACCTACACCTATACCCTTGTGTGTTGTATTACATTTTGATCTATCAGTTGTAAATCTTATTTTATTTGACCATGAAAAAGTTGGGTTAATATTACTCATCAAAACAAAACATAATATTATTGTTAAGACTTTAGAAAAATGTGAATAAATCTATGAAAAAAATCGATTCACTAAAATTCTACTATATTATTCAACCCTTTGAGTCCCAGCGAGAATCATACTACCCATCTTGAGAATTTTCTAATCCTCGAGCTTTTGATAATCTTGGAAAAATATTTTCAATAAATGTTAAGAACTAGCAGAAGTCCATACAAGCTTGCATAGATAATAGAGTGTATGGGTAATATTGAAAGATGTACCTTCCAAAGTTTTAATGTCATAGAGGTGACTCTTTGACGAGTGTACCAGAGTTTACATCGACTTCATCGGAATAGAATGAAACTTTCAGAACTTGTAGGACTTGTATCTGTAAGCATAGCTGTAGGTTCGAAAAAAATTGAAAACCTTATGAAGGGATATCCAAATGGAGAGAACAAAGTGGGATCGCCTAGTCAAATTGAACCTTATCTAGTTCCTCTATTACAAATGCGAAAAGTCTGAAAATTTTACCATAGATGTCACTCATTGAGGTGATTATCTTTTGTAGTGGATGTTTTTTTTCTCCCGTGTTCTGTTTGTGGGGAAAAAATCTACAAAAAATGCTAATTTTGGACGCTTTTTTGGCTGAAATATCTCTATGAAGCCTAAACAGAATTTTAACTTTTATTAGTGCTCTAGAATCGACTAACTGGGTGTGGATGTGGGTGGGAGTGTGGGTAGGTTGATCTTCTTTTAATCCATACTCACACATCCACACCCACACCCTCGCTTGATACTTGATAATGATAATAAAAGTTATCGAAACGTCGTAAATGAATGAAAATATAAAATTTTACGCTGCTGTTAAAAAAGCTCAGAATTATTTCAGATCATTGCCCATAAATTCTAGTAACTTTTCTAAGAAATTTTCCTCCAACAGTCTATATTCCAGTGGTTAAGAATCATCTCCTATCTACATTGCCAAAGCCAGGAAAGTGACTCCTCGCAATCGCCACTTTTAATATTTTGAACGACAGCACAACGTTTATAGAATCAAATTAAATATTTTCTTTGAATATTACATTATAAAATCAACAAATACTATTGTCTATTTTTCCTGGCTAAAAAGTCCAAAATTTTCATTTATGGGGTGTACACCCCACTTTCGCGGCCATTTTGTATATATTCCATGACAGAAATTGATAGCAATGGTTATTTTCTTTTGGCAAAATATTCACAGAAAAAATGAGTTATATCGAGGAAGAGAACGCCTGAATAGGAGAAAAGTGCATTCGTATCAAACGAAACAACTAGATGACCTGATGGAAAGAAAAGAAAAAAACATCAATATCTTATGATCCAATCAATTTATAAATGAAAGAGCAGAAATATTTCTGTTACTTTTTCTCACAAAATTTGTCTTTTCTTCTGACAAGACATGCATTATTTTTTTTATCCGAAC